CCGAATGGGAGCAAATCCTCCCCAGAAGAAGAGCAGAGATATGTTTGGGCGTCCACATACTTTTGCCGGTACAGCGTATGTAAGCAAGCTGCCAGATCCCGACCGCTGTAAGTGTTGCACACCCGCTCCAAAGGAATGTGAGGTGTTAATCCCACCTGTAGCCCCTAAAGCCCCTTCACCCATCTCCATCCTCTGTCTCTGTCTTATTCCCCCTCTCCTTTCTCCTCTTCATGTTTTCAAAAGCTCTCCCAGATGGCGGATTTCAGGAGAACTAACTCCCGAGCGTAGTAGAAAGTTTATGTAAGGAGAAAAGTGTGTGTGTCCTCTTGCGTCTGTGTGTGTGTGTGATAGAGGCCCTGTGTTAAACTAACAGAGACCCAGGAGGTCTTCTGGCTCTCCTTTGTCCCTCCTCTCCGTCTCCTGCAGGCATGCATGCAGGGCCGCCGCAGAAACAAAAAGACACATTTCAGTGTGACTTCAGAGCCTGTTTGTGTGTGTGTGTGGGGTAAAAAAAAACTACCTTTACAGACATCCCACCCCACCTACTGCAGATTCCCCCACTGATATGGGTCCCCCTCCACCACCACCACCTCCACCTCCATCCTCTTACAAAGAATGAGGGAAAACTTTGGTGTGGTGAATGGAAGTGATCATTTTTATGGGAATGTTTGATTTATCTTCCACCGAGGGCCGTAAAATGTGAGTATTTTACGGTGATAGTTACGACATAAATGCTGCTGCGTAATATTCATAGCCACATTTTCCATTTCAGCTCGTATGTCTGGGCAAACTAAAGGAACATTTCACCTCCTGTATGTGTGGAGAAAAAAAAAAGGCTTTTGTTGCTCCACATAAAAACTGTTTATTCATGTGATCAGTATTACGTGTGTGTGACATGACTCAATACATAACTATGCACACAATAACGGGCAATGATGTCGCATAGGATCTGTGCATTTGAAACACATGCATACTCTTGCATTCATCTGAAAGCATCTAATTGAGCGTCCTGGTCACTTTTGTGCAAAAGTCTCTTCAGCAATCGGAGTAGGTCACACTTAATATCACTTTCAACACAGTTTAGAGGAGGCTTTTTTTATTTTTTAAGTTATTTTTTTTGGCCTTTATTACAGAGGACAGTTGAAAGTGGGCAGCAAAGGGCCTTGAGCGGGATTTGAACCCATGGCCCCTATACATGGGTCGCCAGGTGAGCTATAGCAAGAGGAGGCTTTTTAACTTTATTTTTCTTATTTTAGCACCAATATTGTCCTGATAAACATCACAGAGAGGGATAAAGACATAGTCTACAAGCTAAAATCATGAGGTTTTGACAAGAGCTGAAGTTCATTTCTTACAGTTTGTTTGTTAAGTCATTTGTTACGTCGAGTCCTGAGCTTCATCTGGGATATTTTAATTCAACATTTCTTTAAAGCAGAAGTTAGATTCTCACCACAGTGGCTCATCAGTGTTTAGGACATCATAAAGAAACCAGACTATTAGTCATTTGGACACTTTGATAAGCTCGATATTAGTTTGTGTTGAGATTAATGAAGAAGTGACGTCTGTCAGACAGATGGATTCAGTGATGTTGTGTATGCTGGATTTGAAAAGGGCTTTAGTACACGTACACATGGAGAGCGTGAGCAGTGTGAGCTGGTTAATAACAGAATCTTTAGTGGTGAGTGTTTGAAGTGATTGCTTAGAAAAATGACTTTTTAATTGGGATTTGTCACGACAGAAATCATTTCTTGAGAAGTTATTTAAGCAGTTTAAGCAACTCTTCCTGAGAAATCGCTGTTTTTTTTAGGGGGTAACAAAAGAAAATCAAAATCATGACTAAATGCTGCTGAAGTGTGCCGTCACCATGCAACACACTCTCACTAACAACTATAAATAATTAGTCACAGAAGTGGGTTATTCATATTAAAACGGACGACCCACTTGACAACACTGTCATTGTCCAGCATCACGTCACCCAGAAAGTACTTGTTTGTGCAAAATAGCTCAACATGATGATACACTTTATGTGCAATCAGTTTAAAAAAAAAAAAAAGAGACACCTCTCTCTGTTTCATATCCGTCTCTTTGGGCTTTCTCTCGCCAGCGCTGTTTCTGTCTCTGGTTGTTTTGCACGGGGAGGAATCGCTCGGTTGTAAAGCATCAACATGTCCGACAGCTGTGGGACAGATCTGCAGCTGTGTGTGCGTGTGTGTGTGTGTGTGTGTGTGTGTGTGTGTGTGTGTGTGTGTGTCGGGGTCGTCCGTTGGCAGGAAGCAGTAGGCAGCGAGTGATGTGGTCAGACCCTCTGTCACCAGAGAGAGAGAGGGAAGGAGAGGGAGAGAGGTCCGGTGTGTCTCTCTCTCTCTCTCCTCGTCTTCTTCCTGTTGCTTGTTTTCTTTTCCTGATCATCATTCTTCATTAGAGAAAGAAAAGAAAGAAAGAAAAAAAAAGGGCACACAAACAGACGACGGCTCATTTAGTCCTCTGAAGGCTGATGATTGTCAGACCGGTGCTGATATGACGGCTTTTGCAGTTTTCATGTCAACAAAATGGGACAGAAATGATTAATATGCAGCTTTTTTTTTTTTTTTCCCCCTTCAGAATTGAGTGTTATGTGTTTTTTTTTACCCCCCTGGATGACTGCTGGGTTCTGTGTTGTAGAGGCAAGAGTCAGGTTTTTGAAAGACAGTCATCATTTTAAGAATAAATTCATTTACAAATAAATATTACTATAACCTAATCAACAAATACAGCACACACATATTGACTTTTTTGAAAAATTACTCTCCCCAATTTATAATAAACACAGAATAAATCAAATGCATCCTGTCCTTTATGTCAAACTTGACTTGTTTTTTAATTAAAGGATTGAATAATCTTCACATTATTTTTCAATCTTCTTTTTATTTTCTGTCAAATCTAATTTTATTTCCATGTTTTCTATCTAAGGATTCATTTCCTCTCCATCTTTCTGGCTTTACTATTTTATTCTTCAGGCTCTAATTTTCTTTTCAGCGTCGTTTCCATTCTCACGCTGACCTCCGCCGATCTCTTATTATCCAGTAGAGGGAGAAGGAGGAGAAGAAAAAAAAAAAAAGCTAATGAAACGCACAAGAAAAACGCCGAAAGAGGAATAGTGGCTTCTCCTGAAATGATTTATTTTTATAAGAGAGGCTTCGAGAGGGGAAAAGACAAAGAGAAAAAAAGTGATGGAAAAAAAAGAAGTAAAGCGAGAGGTCAGTGTGGAAAATCATTTTTGTAAATAGAACGTGGAAATCAAAGGGAGAGAAGGGGACGAGGAGGGAGGCGAGTGAGTAGGAGGTAAATTGAGGGAGTCAGGGGGACAATTAGATGGGAATTTCCAGTGTTAGTGAGAGAGTGAGCTTTTGTTATAACAGGCTGAGTGAGAGCGAAGACTGTTTTTCTTTTTTTTTATGCGTTGCTGCTGAACTGATGGCTGAGAATGAGATAGAGTCAGAAGCTCCAGACACAGCGAGTTTGCATCTCAAGGTCGAAGAAGCTCCTTTAGACGAGAATTCTGACCAAAAATCTGATGAGGTCAAGATGTGTGAAGAAATTCTTTGTAAAACTTTTCCCGACAAATGCATAGCATGTGCAGTTCAGCTAATTAAGAACACGACTCTGTGAAGGAGCCTGTTGAAAGAGTTTTTAAAGATTCATGTGAAAAATCTTCTTTCAGTGTTGAACAAAGGAGGAAACAAGAAAAACAACACTCCTACAATACTGTTCTGTTTCCAAAGCCAGCTTTAAGGATTCTTAAGATAAATGCACCAATAGGAGTTTAAATCATTTAGTGCTTATTTTACAAGTTTTAATCAATCAAGGAGCTACATGAGGATGAATCTGCGTGCCGTAGCCTAACTCCTGACTGAGGTGCGTCTTCCTTTTGATTAGTCTTTCTCCAGCCTAAGTGTTTGTTACTCAACTCTACCATACCTTAACTATAGGTTGTTTTTTTCCACAACCACAAAGAGCTCGTGTGACATAACGTGCTGCAGAATTGTGCAACGTTCTGGTCTGGTGATAAGGCTTTACCGAAATATGGGGGCGTTAGTTTGGGTTTTCTTTTCCACTAAATATGGTAAAGATGAAGTGCTTTAGCGTCATACATTTTGTTGTTTTTTTATTGTTGTTGTTGGTCTTTTTCCCCCTCTTAAATCCAACCTGATTGTAATTTCTTTTTTGTTCTTTTGCTTTTGCATGTTAGCCAGTAAAGCATTTTAAAAATTTGTGTTTAAATTAAGCCACTTTGAAGGAGAGAGCATTAAAAAAAATCAAAAAGATGCAGAGGTTTGCGAAGAGAGAAAGAGAAGCAGAGAAAAGTTATATGAAAGAGAGGAGAGAGAGTAACAGAGAAAGGGTGAGAGACATAGACAATAACAGAGAGAGTGCACTTTTAAAAGCAATAAGAGCAGATCAGTTCTGCCCCCTAGAGGCGGTGTGTGTGTGTGTGTGTGTGTGTGTGTGTGTGTTTGTGTGTGTGTTTGTGTGTGTGTTTTCCTGAGGAAGAGAGGGGCATCCTGTGATAGTGACTCAATGCTTCCCCCCACAACACACACACATGCACACACACACGCACACATATGTTGTTGTTGTTGTTGTTTACTCTTTTAAAGATATATCCCAACACACGCAGACACAACGCTGCCATCACGGCCGAAAGAAATCTGTATGTTAATGCAGAGAAAAAAAGTGTGTTTTCAGTGTTTTATGTGTGTGTGTGTGTGTGTGTGTGTGTGTGTGTGTNTGTGTGTGTGTGTGTGTGTGTGTGTGTGTGTGTAGCTCATGGCCTCAGGTGAAAGCGCCTGCTGCTGCTTCCTCGCAAAGAAAAGTGTGTGTGTGTGTGTGTGTGTGTGTGTGTGTGTAGGAGGAGGAGGAGGAGGTAGGAGGAGCCAGGAGGAGGAGGAGTTAGGGGCGTGGCTTAGAGAGAGCAAGACAGACTAAGTAAGAGAGATGTTTGATTTTGTCAGGCATTTGAACAGGACACCAAGTGGATCAGACACACACTTTGGTGGACGCACACACCCACCAACACACACAGTCACACACACACACACACAGAGAAAACACAATCTGACCAGTGTGGAGTATCGCAGCAGGAAAAAGGACAGAAGGGGGAGAACTGCACCTGTCCTCACAACACATATAGAGAGAGGATCCGACCGGTCGTCCCTATGTGTGGATGGGACCAAAGTTACACGGTAAGGACGGAGCAGCTCCTCACTTAACACATTTTAACTCAAAACAAACAAAAAAAAGGAGAAGAATTAAAAATAATCTACATTTTTATTTCAAGTTTTTTTAAACAGTATGATTGGATCTTTTTTCATTTTTGCCTTTTTTCTATTTTATTTTATTTTGGCGTTAGAATTTCTAAATTGTGAGAACAGACAAAATTTAACTGAGACAATTTTGGAATCTTTTTCCTACTTTTAAGCTGAAATCAGATTTTTTTTTTCAGAAACTTTTTACATCAAGATTTTTTCTTGCTGCTGGAGATTTTCTCACTCTTTAAGGTATTTTCTAGTTGTCAGCTTTGGGATTTAAGGCCTTTTTTCTTTTTCTTTTTTGCACACTTTACCACATTACTATTCAGTTTGTTTAACAGAAACAACTCTCAGTGAAGTGTCCCCCACATCACTGAGAATGTGACGACTTCTCCACCTGGATTAAAGTGCGATTTGTTGTTCCAACATCTGCCCGATTTGTTTAAATCACTCCTTGATTCGTGTGGACGCTGCCTGCCTGCCTGTGTGCAGACTCTTTTGTATTTTCAGTTGGTCTAATTGCACAAGAGGTTGATTGTTTCTTGGTTCTTGGTTTCACTATTAGTTTTCGATGTTGCAGCTGTTATGCAAAGAGGATTCTGAGTTTGAGTTGAGCTGAAATATTGAGAAAAAATGTTCCCACGTCCGATCACTTTTTCACGCGTTTGATTTAAAAGGCAAATGGAGCAGAAACTGTTGTTCCCCCCCGTGCGAGAAGGTGCAGCCGCTGTCTGGGAGAGCTTGCTGGAAATTTCAGTTTTACAAGTCAAATAGTGGATTTTGTGGGATTTGATTGTCATTTCTGAGGATTTGTTTTGTTGCAACGTGATGAGTTCCACTGTTAAAGTCAAGATTTGGACTTTCTGAAGCTGTGTAGATCTGATTTTTGTTCTTGATTTAGGTTTGGGTACCTTTTTTTTTTATTTTTTTTGTGCAAGTCAGGAACAGGAAAGTCATGCAAAAGCTCAACAAGCATCATAATTACTGCTGAGGATGTTTTCAACATTGTTTGACTCCTGAAAGAGATTTTTAATAAATCAGGAAAAAAATCTTTGAAATCACTCCTTGCAGCTAGCAGAGGTGGTCGGGGATTATCTCTGCGTGTCATTTCATCGTCTTTAGTTTAGAGAAAGAAGTCGTTAGCTGTGACTGACTGGAGCCAGTTGGATGTGAAATAATTTTCTTTCTTGCGGCTTTGGAAGAATTCGCAGAGCCGAGTGTGGTCACTGAAGATCCGTTGCTTTCTGCTTTCTGCTCGTCTGCGTGGGACAAGCCGGCATGTTTGTCCCTGTGTGGATATCTGCCTCTGTGTGTGTGTGTGTGTGTGTGTGTGTGTGTGTGTGTGTGTGGGATTGTCTTGGGTGGGATCGCGTTTGAAGTTTTGTTTGCGCTGCTGTGGCCCCCCAAATGGAAAAGTTTTGACGCTCCCTTCCTCATCACTCCCACCACCACCACCACCACCGCCACCCCCCGTCCATTACCAACACACACACACACACACACACACACACACACACACACGCTGGGAGTTGGGATGATTTGCCGGTTCCGCTGCAGTGCCACTCTGCTTCCAATTTTAGCTTCATTCAGACACAGACAGCGTTTCCTTCCTCTGTCTTCAACCCCGGAGAGAAATGGGGAGGAGGAGGTGGAAGGAGGGAGGGAGGGGGAAGAAACACGGGAAATATCACTTTTTTTTTTTTGGGTGGGAAATTTCTCCTAAATGTAAATTCTTGTCTGAGTTGCACTGTGTGAAAATTACTGAAATACAAAATACAGGAGGAAAACTCTAAATAGGAAATATGGAAACTCTGTTTGCTTCAGCGAGGAAAACAGATTTATCCAAAACAAACAAAAAGAAACTGCTCAAACACACTTTCTCTCCCTTTTTTTAAACATTTCAACTGCTCAAAAGTGCGTTTTATTGAAAATATGCAGCAGATGAAGTAAATATTCTTGCATTCAAACAACTGATTGTTAGAATCAGTTCCGATTTTATCAAATAAAATCACCAAATCCTTCATTTAATCAGGGATTTGCACAATTGTTTTATTTTAAATCTACTTGCGAGACACGTGTTGAGCTCCTCTGTCAGTTTTCTTTATTGTGTTTGGCTCCTATTTTAAATTTCACCTTGTGTGTGTGTGTGGTTTTTTTTTTAAAACTGATTTAAAGAAGTCAATCAGTTCCATTAATGTTTAAGCTTACAAACAGATTGCTGCCCCTGTGAGCGGGAGAAGGGTCGTCTGAGGTGTTTAATGTGATTTTGTCCGAATCAATGAATAACATTAACGGGAAAGAAGGATCGCAGCGTGTTTGTTTGGCGTCCCACGTTGTTATCATCGTCATCACGCTTTCTACTGGAGTTCTACGGATGTGAATGAATGAGGAAGGGAATGAGTGAATGTGGGTTTTTTTTTTTTTATCTCCTAATTGTTTCTCAAATTAGTTAACATTTAGTCTAAATAGTTGACAAACAGCTTCCTGTCTGTTTGTGTGTGTGTGTATGTGTGTGTGAGACAGTAGTGTTAGTCAGACCCCCTTCATTACTGAGTCACCACACATAATAATCGCAGCTCTTCCTCTCCCGCTTTTGTCTTTCCTCGTCTCTTCGTTGCTCCGTTTTTTATGTTCTTTTATGTCTTTCCTCTTTTCTTTCCTATCTTACTCCTCCCTCTTTCCACTTCTCTATCTGTGATTTTTTTTCCTTCCCTCCCCCCCACATCTTATCATCTTATTTGTCTTCATTTGACTTCTTCTTTCTTGCGTTCTTTCATTCTTACTTCTTTTCTCTTTTTCTATTCCTCCCTCCTGTTTCCCACCTCTTTCCTTCACTTCCTTTTTCTTTTAAAGTTACCTTCTTTTCATTAAATCCTTTCTTCTGAATTTCAGCAGCGACATCGCTGCACTTTCTGAAAGATTTAGAGATAAAACAACTCATGTTTCTCCCTCTTCCTCTCTCTTTTACCCCCGTCCCCGACCAGGCGACCTCTCATAGCTCGGCCATGTTGACCAGTGAGGGGGCGCACACCATGGAGCAGGACGACACGCACCACGGAGCCAAGATGGCCTCCACCGCCACCAGCACGGGCTCGGACGGAGCCGAGACGATGACAGACACCGACGTGGACATGGAGATGGATATGGAGGAGGCAGACATGACGCAATGGACGGAGACGGAGTTCGAGGAGAAGTGTACGTACATCGTGAAAGACACGGCGTGGGAGGCGGGACCAGACGGTGACGCCGCGATGACGACGACGACGACGACGACCAGAGCCGAGGCGTCTCTGCCGCGAAACCTGGCCTTCAAACACCTGGCTGGCAGCAAGGAGGTCAGACTCACATCTACACACACACACACACACACACACACTTGGCAGACAGACTAACTTTCTCCTCAATTTTTCATACACACTCAGCCGGAGAAAGCCATCTGTAAGTGCACACAAACGTGAGTCAGAGGTGGGTCATGTAATGAAGAGGGGCTCATGTCTCGTTGTAAAACTTCACACACACATATGGAGGAATCCGTGTGGGTGTGGGAAACGCCAGAAGCAGAATTTAAACACATGCACGGTGCAGTTTAACTAACTTCTATCCATCCATGAAAACCCATTTATCTTCTGAGGGGAAACGGCGATGGCTCGATCCCAAGCGCTGTGTGTCATATTCCATTCAAGTCCTCGTTTAACCGCCTGAAGTGCCCGTCCCGGCAGGCAGGGGGCGCAGTGCGGCGTCTCAACAAGCACATCAAATTGTGTGATTATTTTTAAGCTCCTAAATGGCAAAATTAAAGAGGTTTGATGTGAATTTTGGCCACTCATAGGCTCAGCTTTGACTTCTTCATGAGGGTCAACCCCCCGGAGCCGTAGATTTTGGTCATTTTTACTAGACAGGGACACGCTCCCTCTGTAAATCATCCTCAGCTCACCAATCACCCTCTGTTTGACCCTTTGACAAAACCTGGAAGGATAACGTTTCTGCCATTGATCAAAGTGGAGATGAAAAAGTCAAAATATCAACCAGTCAAAGGTTGAGGTTGTATAACAAGGAGATAACGCAGAGAATCGAAATGACACTCTGGGAATGTGATGAAGTGAAAAACAGTGAGCGCTTCGCTTCTGAGTGGTTGACAAGTTAGTCACTAATTTGCATTTGGAGATAAGTTTCATTTGGTGTTTGCGTTTAAGTCGGAACACCTCGAGGCTGATTAGTGTTGAAGAATGATCCAAACACAAGTCAGATACGCGGCTGAAACCACGATAAAAACCTCTATCTGGGTTACGTTTCGTGCAGGGTCACGTACGTGAAGTCTCGCATCAATGCTGTGATTTTTAAGGAATTTCGGACCAGAAAAAAAAAGTGCATGACTGCAGGTCAAAAGGCTGCGACTTTGTCAACTTTGACACTTTGAGAGTTTCTCAGTTAAATGGCTTGATTACATAGATTTTCTCATCAGGGGTTTATCAACGGGAAACTAAGGAAAGACCCACAGAGAGCGAGAAAGAGAGAAAGAGAGGAGTGCGTTTTGTTTACAAGCTGATACGCTATCAGATAATATTTGAGGCCGAGAGAGGAAGAAGGGAAAGGCTGAGGATCGCAGTTTGTCGTGATCAAAGAAGGCTTCGTTTAGGGATTGTAAAAACTCTGATTACTCGCGTACACACTTACACACCCTCATGTCTGGTCCCAAGGAGGAAAAAAAAAAGAAAAAAACGGGGGGAAAGGGGGATTTCCAACGTCACCAGGGAACAGAGGGGTTTGGGAAAGACTGGTGTTTGCGTGGGTTCAGCATGAAGAAAAATGCGAGTGTGTTTCTCTTACCATCCGTGGCTGGAGCCTGACGTCTAGTCACCACATAATCCCCCTCGCTTTTCTCCTCTTCCTCTTCCTCTTCCTCGTCTTCTCAAGAAGAATACAAAAGATGTTTTTTTTTTTGAGCATGTGGATGTCTCCCTCTGAAGAGTCTGAGGTGGCAGCCGTTTTGGGTTTGATGTGGCGACGGGTGGAGGTGTGACGAGAGATTTTCAGAGGAGAGTTTTTCCGCACACAAGGACACACACACACACTCAAATGAAGTGATGTGTGGAGGTGGTTCATTAATCATCCTCGCTGCTGACAGCTGGTTGATGCTGTGTGTCTGTGAGTCTTTGAAAAAAGACTTAATGAGTCTTAATGATACATATCGCTGACGGATGTGCACGAAAACACGTACGCGGCCCCGAGGATGTGCAGCGTTACCCCGTTCAGGATGCTAAAGTGTAGCGCGTGAGGCTTCATTGTTGTCAATCTGCTTTGTCGTTTTATTTCAAAGCCGCGTGTGTGTGTTCGTGCAGGTGGTCGGCGTGTGCAGCAGGGAGTACATCCCCAAAGGAACCCGCTTCGGTCCCCTGGTGGGCGAGATCTACACGGCAGACAGCGTCCCCAAAGACGCTAACCGGAAGTACTTCTGGAGGGTGAGTACACACATTCAAAACACGCACACATGCACGACAAAACACACACACACTTCCTCAGAAGCCGGAGGGACCCCTTCCTCTGACGTCACGCCCGTCTAAAGTCAGTCAGTGGAACAGGAAATTGGGCTTGCTGTTTTTTCTGAGAGTGTGTGTACAAGAAACAGAGATGGGGATGTGATGTCACCTTCACACAAATAACATGTCACACTGTGGTTCCTGTAAGTCCACACAGTCTCGCACACACACACACACACACTCACACACACACGCTGCTTTTGACAGAACACACTCCATCACTACCAGTAACTGACAAGTGAGACGACACACCACTCACAAACCACCTACCTGACCACCGCCTACACACTGCACACGTGTGTGTGTGCGTGTGTGTGAGTGTGTGTGTGTGTGT